TCGCCCCAGGGGCAAACAGACTATTTTGAGAGTCGCAGTCAAAGTGTTAAGTAGTTTTGGACTATTCTGGTACAGAATCATTTTATTCGCTTCTCATACGGTTCACATTGTCCAGGTACGGTTTGGTAGAGTTATCTGTTACATCGAAGGGTCTTCGAACTTTATTCCTCGATTGGTGTTGCCGTGCATAAGCCAATTGTAAAATCCCCTTGTATTCTTATTCAATTGTAACCACCAGTCTATATATATATATTTCTGACTCAGTTTTGTATCTTTTCAAATATCGTCCAAAGAAAAAGCCAATTTAAATACGAGAATCACGCGGGTTAAGAGATTTGGAACTTCGGTTGTCCTTTTAAACAGTATTTGTGCAAATACACGTGCAACTTTCTCACGATGGAATAACACTTAACCGTTTTTTTAAAACCCAGCTGTGGCTATAGCAATGACATTTTGTTCTCGACTGCCGTTTTTTCTACTTTCATAAGCAGGAGGCTGGTCTCATAATCAGGCTTTTATTGTGCTCGAATTGTATTCACTTTCACCACCATGATTGTTTTGCAGTAGACCCGCTTATTGTTTACGGTTTACGTCCGCTACTTTCTAAATTGTGAGTCCACATGAAGTTGTTTCTCGTTGTGCTAGGTAAGGTACCGGGAACTCTCCTCAGGTAGACATCTGTTAAATTCTAGATTGTCTGCCTAGGCAATCCTGCTCGGCCAAACATTTTACGGTGTCCGAATTGCTAGATCTCATGCGTTGCAACGTATTGGAACGTAACTTGACCCGATTCTGGTTTAACTCACGGCTCTCGGTAGGACCTCGTAACTTAGGTGGTTAGATTGTCGTCTGCACCCATGCTTTGCCTATACTGATAGAGTTCTGGTCCCACCGACGCGGCTAAATTTTTCAAAATTGTGTCAAGGGGTGTTTCTTTTCGCATTTTCTCGGTCGTTGTCGCCTGTACTGAAAAAAAAAGTGAACCATAAGGAATACTTGTAGGCGCCGACTAGCTGTAGTTAAACGAAAACACGGCAAGTTCTACATTGCATATATGCCAATACTGGATCCGAAGAAGGTAGTGCAAATAACGCCTAGATAATGTCAGTGGATATAAAGTGAATTTAAGTCGCCCATTATGTCCTGGCACATCCTCGAATTATCGGTGCAATGTCGTTTTTAACATATTAGGTGTATTTTACTCGAAGAAAAGTTCTCGTGCAATATTAGTCGTAATTATTGATTTCTTGCTTGTCTTGTGCGCGTGCAATTGTACTCAATTGGTCGAAAGGAGGCTGAGTACACACAGACTTCCGTCGCTATTTGGCATAGTTGAAGGCGAGTGGGTCGACATAGTCAGCGTGCTCAGTGCGTGTTCCGGTACAAATTGGATGTCCAGCCACCGAGTACTACTTTTTCAGTCATCCATTCAGTAATGCAACTTAATAGAATGGTGCATCTGGCACACTCCTACACCATGTCTGACCGATCCAAGGGTGTGCGTGAACCATTACCAGGGACAACTAATCGACTAATGATGGATTGATAATATGCGTTAATCACAGTAATATGTTTCCAGCTCCCTCTTTAGCCTCATTATCTACCGTCGTAATGACTATGAACGCATTCCGGTGTTCACCAACTTAATTACCACACTGACAGCACAGACGCACGTGTTTCGCGGGTTATACAACAGTAGCTGATGGGCTTCAGCTCAAATATTCATAACAGGTTTCAGACCTAACTTGAAAAAGCCTGTTTCGCAGTATTTGCTCCAAGTTCGCTCATGCGTTTCCTCAAAAATTAAGCAAAACAGGCTGAAACCGGAGTTCATATTCCAGAAAACACACGGAGACGCTAGGGGACCCCTCGGTGAGCCAAACGTGATAGAGATATCCACTCCCAACTCGAAACCCTGCTTGTGTGGCGCTCGTCGTTGAACCACGCACATCGACACTGCCTTTGAGGGACTGGGACTAAAAATGCATCAGCAGTGCCACTGAGAAGTCTACTTACACCTTGTCATGTCTGCTTTTCTGAAATGCGATCCGAGGATGGCCGCCCCAAATTCGTCAGTTACGATTTCGTCTGGTTACTTTTGCGCGCACACTCCACTGAAAGGGGACGCCGCGGCCCAGAGGCTCGATTTATGCACTTCATAGTATTTATTAATGTTTTGACTGTTAGCAGCCCCAAATAAGTCTGCCCGTGAGGAAATTTGAGCAGGCTTCGTCCTAGGTGGGCTATAGTTTGTTAAGAAATGTTTACAAGGAGAGCCGCATTGAGTGGCGTGTAAAATTCAGTATGGTTTAGCACATACTTTAGTTGTCACCTTTCTCAGGTAAGTGATTTAGTATACATATATCCGAACGCGCCTCGAAATATTGCTCCTGTTAAATAATTTGCAGCTGCTTATTCGTCAGAACTGATATGTGATTATTTTCGAAGCAAACCTTTATAGAAGGCCGTCTTACCATTTGCCGTCTGTTTACGATTATATTTGCGCTTCTTTGTATGCTTCTCTTTTCGACAGTAGTACCGTCCCAAATTGTCGGACGAATTGCTCATTTTCAGCAATAAGTGCAGCGTTCAGGTATCCCTGCTAACCACAGTGCCCTTAAAACATTTAGTAGTTTGACCCCAGAATGTTTTACGGTTGCGCCGTACAGATTGCCTCGAACGCGATTGGCCTTTTTGATATTTTTTTTGTTTATTTTCATGGCGGGATGCGGTATGCCGTCAGACCCACACGAGAACCAAACCCTTTATTGAAATTTATACACGAAGTTCTTTTGGCCTCGCTAGTTGCTGCGCTCTAGTCGGTCTCATTCGAACTTGCCACTGCTACATGATTGGATGGCAATCAGTGAGCGAAGCGAATTCTGTGTCATGTTCTTGCACCAAATTAAGTTTGGCGTGCTTTGTGCTTTGGCTGTGGAGAGTTGCTGTTTGATGGAATTACAAGGTCATCTGGGCTGAGTATTAGATTGCAATCGCTCCACCCTGATGTGACCTTCGTGAAAACTTTCACTAATGTGAAATTTTTTTATTAGCGAGTCCCTTTCGTAGGCCTGACGAACAAGTTTTGTGTTATGAATATATTGTGCGTATACCTATATGAACTTTTGTAT